TCAGGCCCCACCCCACTCCCTTACCTGGGGCTGCTGCTGACCCTCTGTGGGTCCCCCCACGCTGCCTCTGGTTGGAGTGTGTGTTCCAGCTCAGCCACCGGGGGGGTACACATCTGGCCCCAATCTGGTCCCCTCCCTTGAGTCATCAGAGACACCCCCCACCCGGCCCCCAACACAGGGCATTGCTCCCCCCTGAGATGCTCAGGAGGCCAGCTCACTCTTCCCCACCAAGGCTCAACTATGGGGCGGCTGGCGGGTCCTCAGAATACTTCACGTACTTCTCCCCTCGGCCTCCCTGGAACCGTGAAGGTGGTGTGGACAGGGGCCGGCGCGGCCTCTGGGGGTGAGCCCGCGCCCCTCTAGCCCAGGAGAGAGGCCTCAGCGAGGCCAGAGGAGGGAGCAAGCCTCCAGCCCGCAGACACGGCCCAGATGGACTTGGCCCGAGGTCAGGGAGTGAGGGGCAGCGTGTATGCCCCAGCCCCAAACCCCAGCTGCAGAGGTGCAGCTCCCAGGAAGCCTCCGGCCACTGTGCTGGCCATGGGGCCCAACCCAAGCATGCTGCCTTGTCGTCCCAGACAAACACCAGGCTCAAGACCCCCCGAAAGGAACCAGCCGGGATCCCAAGAGGCAGACGTGTGCAGAGGGGCCCCTGAGCCCAGCGCCTTGCCCTGCCCCAGGCCGATGCTGAATTTGTGCTGAGTCCCCACCCACCCACACCCTGGGCTGACCGGGATTCCCAGGGTGGGGGCACAGGAGGCCTGGCCTGGCTGGCGGCGGACATGGGCAGGCAGGGGCTCCTGCGAGTCCTGCTCAGTGGCTCCCACCCACGAATCAGCAACACTGGGGCACGAGCAGCTGACTGGGCATTGGCAGCCGCGGAGTCTGGGCCAGGCTGCAGGCCACAGAAGCATATTCGGGGCTGAGCCCCCGAGACCCCCGAGCAGGGCCCCAGGCTCACCCCTGGCAGTGCCCAGGATTGGGTTCGTGAGGCCGGAACGGTCATCAGGAGCGGCTGACCCTGCGCTGTCCCCACGGGAGAAGCCCAGGTGGGAGGTGGGCTCAGCACCCCTCGGTCCCTCAGGCCCAGGGATGTGTCCCGGCTCCCACCTAGTGTCACCAAAGCATGTGGGCCGGCGGGGGCGGGGGGGCAACTGCAGCCCAGGGACCAGAGTGGCTGGGGTGGGGCGCCGGCCTGTAGCGACCTCCGAGCCAAAGCAGAGGCTGTGGAGAGCTGCCGGGGAGCGGCCTGGGTGGGGCTGACAGGACAGGGCTGAATCTCAGGGAGGACAGCCCAGACCTCTACAAGGTCCAGCAGGCAGGGCTGGGCTGTCAGTGCCAGAGGCCAGAGCTGCCCCTGGGTCGGTCCCAGGCTGGGGAGCGGACGCCTGAGGGATGGTGCCAGGGGTCATGGTGAGGGGCTGGCCAGGAAGCCCCCACTGGGCCGCGACTCGCGTCAGAGTGACCAGGCCTATCTGTGAGGGAGACGGACGGCATGAGGGCTGTGTGTGGAGCCTGCGGCCCAGAGGCATGGCCGTCCTGCTAGGCCCCAGAGCAGCCCAGGGCTGGGTGGGCATCTCCCCTGGGGGCCCCCCATCTTCACTGGGTGGGGGAAGTGCAGACCATGTCTGCTCCCTGCTTCACCCCAGCTTCGAGCACTGAGCCCGCCCTCTGCCTCCACAGGGCAAGCCCACCGGGAGCCCCGTGTGGGGGGTTGTCCTTGCATGGATCCCACCAGCCCCGGGGGGCCACTGCAGGCCAGCTCTGCCGCTGGGTAACCAAGGGTTCCTGAGCTACAGACAGCCCTCCATCAGCGTACCCAGCCATGGCTCTGGGCAAATACTTCCCCAGAGACACTGTCATGAGGCCTAAAAATAACCCCCAAACCCCAGAACCCTGCATCACCCAGGCCCCCCAGGAGAGCGTCCCCCAGGCCTGGGTGGCCGTGTGGGGCTAGGACCACGGTGAGGTCAGCATAGGGCACAGAGGTTGCCCCGGCCAACAGGCCCCACCCTTACCCCCTGCACCCCGCCAAGCTCTCCCATGCGCCCCCTGGATGTGGCAGGGGCTCTACTGAGCGCCCTGGTTTCTGGGACACCTGGAAGCTTCTCACACCTTACCCTGGTGCCAGGTGTGGGGTGGGGTCCGTGTCCCGCCTTCCCAGCCCAGCCAGGGGGCCCGGCTCCCTGAACGGGCTTGGCCCAGTGGGAGGCCCTGTGTCCGTAGCCCACCTCCCACCGCCCCTGCCCACAGGACGGCCCTGTGGCTGTGCGGCCTGGCGCCGTGCCCTGCGCCTGCTCATGAGCACTCGCCACACAGCCTGGCCATCCCCTGCGGGCCCTTAACCCCAGGCTCTGAGTCCAGGCCAAGGCTGTGCTGTCCTCGTCCTGTGTCCCGCCTGCATGTCCCATGTTCCTGACACCTCTCCTGGGTCCCACATCCTGCATTCCTGTCCCAGTCCCCTGGCCTGACCCCAGGACAAGGCTCTGATCTCCTGCCAGGCCGTCCCGACCCAAGTCCTATGAGGGTGGGGTTGTCCCCCGGCCCCCTCACTCTCATCAGCCTGAGCCCCCCCGCCCCGGGACAGCTGTGGGATGAGCCTCCCCTTTGAAGCCAGGATGGCCGGGAAGCGTGCAGGGTGCGGGGGGGAACCTGCCCTTTCAAGTGCTCCGGGCTTCATGGGGCCAGCTTATCACCACATGGGGACAGATCAGAGGGAAGAGTGCTGGCCCCGCTCAGCACTTGGGGTTCCATCCACCCAGCACACCGCACCCCCACCCAGGACGCCAAGAGCGTCCTCCTGAAATGACCTGTCACAGGTCCCTGTCCAGCCTGGCCTGGGGTCACTCTGAGGACGCAGCTGGGTCCCTCCCCTCTGTCTCCAAACTGGGAGCTCCCAGGGCAGGGCCCAGGCCCCACCCCGCAGAGAACCCCGCAGAGCTGGGGGCACCAGGTGTTGTCTCCTTGTTGGTGGTCCCCACAGCTTTGGTGGTGGTTCACTGGCCTTTCTGCCCAGGCAGGGGTGAAAATGGAGGGGCAGCGGAAGCCCACCTCCCCACCCACCCCTCCTCTCTGTCTCTAGGCCCCATCCTGGGTGGGGGACCCTGCCCTTAACACCAGCTGAGTCTTGTCCCTCTGCATCAGACCTGGGAGTCCCCGACAGGGGGCCGGGCACCCATGGAGACAGAGGTGTGGGCTCAGGTGCAGAGTGGGAGTGGGCAGAATGGCCCAAGGGTCAGGCAGCATGGAGCTGGCGACAGCCCACCGAGAGCAGAGGGACAGTGCGGGGCCAAGGGAGAAGGGTCTGCAAGCTGCAGGTGGCCCCTGAGAAGCGCACGGAGAGGGGTCTGGACCCACGTGATGGTCTCTAGAGCAGGAAGCTGAGGTCGTTGTGGGTCAGGCTGCAGCTGAGGACCCTGAGCCCCAGGGTGTGGTAATGAAGGCATAGAGCTTTGGGGGGACCAGACAGGGTCCCCACGTGTTCACAGAGTCACCAGTCCCTCAGTGCCCGCCTTCCCTCAGAACCCCTGAAAGGGCTCTCGGGGGTGTGGACCCCAGGGCTGTTGGTCTCAGCGAGAGCCAGGACCCAGGGCCCTGCCAGGCCTGTCTTGGCCCTGAGAGAGGATCCATCAGAACTCAGAAGGGGCAGAAGACAAGGGCAGTTCCCATGTGAACCCCAGGCAGACACACCGGACCTCGGCTGGGAAGGGCATGGGCACCTTTGCAGGTCCGGGGGAGGGTGGGCTGTACCCTCTCAGGTGCTGGTGGGGACTGCTCCCACCCCCATGGCCTATGGATGTCCTGTAGCCCGAGTTCTCCCCACCACCCAAGGCTCTTTCCATCCCTCCCCCACCTCAGACCGAAACGCATCCAGACACCGGCCCCCACAGCCTGTCCTGTCTGGGGAACATCTGCTGGTCACCAGCTGTGGTTGCCTGAAGCCCCCACAGCTACCCCTGGTTGCTCCAGCAGAGCTCCCACACCTGGCTTCCCATGACGTCCACCGAGGGTGGCCTCCAACACCCAGAGGCCACCGGCCCTGCCCAGGCTCGGTCACTGCCTGTGGGATCAGGATCACCCCAGTGGGCCTTCCCTCAGGGCTAGCCCTTGCCTCCTTGGGGACAGAAAGACTGGGGTCCATCCTGGGGAGGCCAGGGGGCCCAGAGGAAGAGGGCCAGAGGCTGGGGCCTAGCCCCCGGACACCAGAAGAGAGGGTCCCCAGACCTGCCCTCAGCTGGGGAAAAGGGAGATGGGGGAGGCTTGACCTTGGGGAGCTCTGACTGCAGGGAACCAGCAGTACCAGGTGGGAGGGTCAGTGCCCTGGCCTATAGCGCTGGGCAGGACCTATCCTTGTTCCCTACAGTGCCCCCCGCTCCTTCAGCCAGACTTCTGAGGCTCTGGGGACCTCACAGAGGTGGCTTTGCTAAAAATCACATTATCTTAGTGCCTTTTCTTAAGAGGCAACAAGTCCCAGGCTCAGCGTCCCCAGCTGGAGAGTGGGACCGTTGTTCATAACCTGGTAACGGCTGGCAGACTTGGGACTGCACCCTCCAGGCAGCAGGCACCAGGACGGAGGTGACAACAAGGCCCCAGCCCTCCAAGGCCACCAGCTGAACCCCCAGAGTGTGGGCCAGGGAAACCACAGCCCTGCACTGAGGGCCATGGGGGCCATACTGGTAGGGAGGGAGGGGGACACCCGCAGGGCCAGGTGTGCAGGACTCTAGCTAGCTCGGGAGGTGTCTGCAGGTGCGTGACCAGTCAGCACTCCAAACACGGCCACCTGAGTTCAGTTCGGGGGAGCTGATGAGGCCCCGGGACCCCAAGGTGCCAGCCCCAGAACCTCAGGCCAATGACAGGACTCCTGGAGCCCGGGCCTGGCACACAGGCACACGTGTGCGTGCATGCACACACCTGTACGCAGACCCAGGCCCGCCCGCACACACACCTGTAACACAGGCCGACACACGTGCACATGCACAGAAGCCAAAGGCAGAAACACCGGCTTAATGGAAGAAGATGCACATTTTCTTGTTTAACAAAATAAATTAAGTATACGAAGCTTCAGCTCAAACTCTACATAAAATTACAGAGGTCTGGGGCTGCCACAGGCAGTGGGGCGATGGGTGCCCCGAGGTGGCCATCCAGGTGGCCAGCAGGCCAGGGCGTCCCAGGCCTGAGGACAGGCCTGGTCTGCAGTGCCACCTTCCTTCCAGCATTATTAATATTATTATTTTCATTTCTTAAATATAAATATCAAGGGCCCTTCTCTCTGGCAGTGGGAGGCTGGATGGGGCAGGGTCGCCCCCAGCCGGCACCCGCCTCTCAGGACAGGGGTCTGGACTGCTCTGCCTGACCTCCCGGCCCAAGGGACTGGGGGACTCCTGGACGCCCAGACTGGGGTGGCAAGCAGAGCCAGCCGCCCGCGGAGGCCCGGGCAGGGACACGGAGGCCAGCACGGGACAGGGGTCGGGGGGTTTCGGTTTGCAAAGCCGGGGTGCCCCTCAGACCTCCTGCCAGGGGCGGGAGGGGCGGCTTGACCACGGCCCCTGCGAAATCCTCCTCACAGGAGCCAAGGGATTCCTTCATCAACTAGCCTGCTGCTACATGCACACTGCGAAGTTACAAACGCAGACCTTCCCCAGGGCGTCTGAGTCTGAGGGGGTGTGTGTGTGTGTGTGTGTGTGTGTCCAGAGGTATGTCATACACGTGTGTGCGTCATCCAGGGCGCCCGGGGGCTGACCGTGCCCCCTGCCTGGGCTCCACGGTCTCCGCGGCCCTCTGCCCCCGGCCCCCCACGTGCCCCCTGGCGCCCCGCGCGGCCGCACGGTCTAGCACTGATAGTGGATGTGCTGGTGCTGGTGGATCTTGCCCTCCACGTGAGAGTGTGTGTGTGAGTGCGTGTGTGTGTGCGTGTGCGTGTGCACGTCTGTGTAGAGTTTGGGGTAAAGTCTGGGCCCAGCAGATGGGCCCGGGCCCAGCAGGTGCTGGGGAGCTGCCGGAGGCCCAAGCTCCTCACACAGCCCCAGGCCGGGGGCAGTGCCGAGGCTGGCTGGCACGGGGAGGTCCTTGTCCCCGCCACGGTCGCGGGCGGCCACGGGCGGGCGGTGCGCAGGCACGGGGGCGGCGGGCCCAGGCGCACACGGCTTCTTCTTGGCTTGGCAGAGCCACAGGAGCACGGTGCCCAGGATGAAGACGGCGCCGGCTGGGATGCCGATGACCACGGGCCACGGCAAGCTGGTGGCCGAGGACGAGGGGGACACGGGGGGCCCTGGCGGCTTGGGGTCTGCAAGAGAGGCCCAGGAAGGGGGTGGGGAGAGGATCGTCGCCATGGGCCCCGGGAAAGGCTGCGGGAGGCCGGCGTGTGGCCTCGGGGGCCCGGGCTGGGGCGGGGGGCGCACGCACCTGGCAGCACGGTGAGGAAAGCGCTGCGGAAGCTGTAGCCCATGGTGTTGGCCCCCAGGCAGATGTACATGCCAGCGTCGTCCTGCCGCGCGCGGGTGATGAGCAGCTTGTTGAGGTAGGAGCCGTCGGGCCTCGACCACACGTCGCCCGTGGGCAGCACCACGAACTTCTGGCCGCCCACGTCGATGGTGGAGTTGTAGCGGCCCTCGGCGCCATACTCCACGCGCTTCAGCCACTGGATCACCGGCTTCACGTCACTGCGCACTTTGCACTGGAAGGACGTGGTGCCCCCAAAGTCCACGGTCGTGTTCACGGGGTGCGTGCCCGTGAGGACGGGCTTGGAGCGCGTCCGCTCTGCACGGGGACACGACGTTAGCGCCTCCCCGGGCGCCGCCAGCCCCCCACGGCCCCACAGCCCCGGCACTCACGGATCACGTCCACCTTGTAGGTTGCGTTGATGGCTCCTGCGCGGTTGGACACGCGACACGTGTACTTGCCACTGTCCTCGGGACGCAGGTTCTTCAGGCTCAGGGTCCACTTCTTCTTCCTGTGCTCCCCGGCCTCCAAGCCGGTCAAGGCCTGGTCGTCCTTCATCCACGTGATGTCGGGCCGTGGGTGCCCACTGGCCACACACTTGAGCCGCACAGAGCTGCCCACGGGCCGGGCGATCACCCGGCGCCTCATCTTGGAGGGCTGTGTGAAACGGGGCCGCGCTGCAAGGCGGACAGCACAGAGGTCAGCACGGCACGGGGGGGCAGCCCCCACCCGCACCCAAGGAGGAGGGTCTCACCCCACTGCTTGCTGGCTGCGTCCTCCCGGCCCCCAGAGGAGCCGTCCTGCCCCAGACGCTCCCTTCCCACACCAGGGTCATCTGCAGAGAGGAGGGCACGTGAGGGGGGCCCCAGCAGTCCCCACCCTGACCCCAGCCTTGGGCCCAGCTGGGAAAGCTCTAGAAACACAAATGGGAGCCCCTGGAGGCACGCCCACATCTCAGAATCCCAGAGACAGCCGGGCAAGAGCTGCCTGCCCAGCCTGCTCCCTGGGTGCAGGTGACCCCAACAGAGCTGCCCCCCCGGCTCCGGGGGGTCTGCAGGGCCAGTGGGAGGAGGGGGCCAGGCCTGCCCAGCAGCTGCAGTAACCCTAGCCCACATCAAGGAGCCGAGGCCTTGGTGAGCTGACATGGCTCGCATACCGCCTCGTCATCCTCCCCTTTCAAAGGACAGTGGGGGGGACACCAGCAGTCTTCCCGTCCCACAGTCCAGAGCAGGGGGCCCAGCGGGGGTGGGGCAGGCTGAGGAATGCCCCTCCTGGGACAGCCGCCTCCACCCAGCCGGGGACCCAGGGAGGGGGTGGCAGAGGTCAAGCGCTCCCGCTTTGCGAGATGGGCCACCATGACTGCCAGGGAGCCCCACCCCAGGGACCCACCCCGGGAGCCCGTGGGGGAGGGCCAGGCGTGCAGAGGGTGTGTTGCTGGGGACCCCGCCAGTCCCCGAGCCCGGGCCCCAGAGGCAGAAGAGAACAGAAGGCCCTTGGCGGCCCCTCTGAACTCTGAAATCTGAGCCTCAAAGTTAGAGCCGACGCCAAGGCCGCCAGCTTGCCCGGCCGGCCCTTTAGTGGGACCACCACCCTGGGGCTCCCCGTGCCCACTCCTGCTGCCCCCTAGCCAGCCTTGGTCTCCCCGTCAGCAGAGCTTGGGGACCCCAAGGCACAGGCCCAAGGGGGGGGCTCAGGCCAGGGTGGTGACCACAGAGGTCACGTCCTGTCCTGGGCTCAGAGGAGGCCGGCAGGTGGGTGTCCTCCTGGCAGCAGCGGGGAGGGCAGGTCCGCTCCCCAGGCTGCGTGGACTCGGGGCCCACACGCCACGGCCCCGGCGTGGCCCCCACTGACCCATCACGATGAGGGTGTAGTTGACGCTGAGACTGCCAAAGCCGTTGGTAGCCTTGCACACGTAGGCGCCGGCGTCTTCCCGCTCCACCTCCTTCACCTTCAGGCCCTGGGGCAGCACGCGGAAGCGGCTCCAGCCGCCATGGATCGTGCGGCCGTCCTTGGTCCACATGGTCAGTGGCGGCGGGTCGCCCTCCACGGGGCACTGCAGCCGCACAGTGCGGCCCAGCCGGGCCACCTGCCTTGCAACCACCTTGTCCGCCATCCTCGGGGGACCTGCGGGCAGGTCAGAGGGCTCAGTCAGGGAGGAGAGGGGGGCGGCAGGTGGCCGGGAGCGCAGGCAGGCATGCGTGCTGGGAGCCAGGGGAGGGGCTGTCCCCGTCGGGTCCCCACCGGGGACTCCACGCACATACACCTGCCCAGCCCAGGCAGTGGGGGTCTGGAGCCCGGGGCCCTGCTCCCAGACTGCGGTGGTCAGCATTCACCTGGAACCCGCTGCCCGCCGGGCCGTGCGCACGCAACTCCCCATACGTGCCGTCACAGAGAAGCCGGGGTACAGAGGGGCTGGGGTGGCTCAGCCAGGATGCACGTCCACAGGCGAGCCAGGACGGCCCCCCACGGCCTCCCGTAGGCAAGGCGCAAGGGAGGGGTCCATGCAGCACAAACAGACGTGTCTGGGGGCCCGTGTCTGTGGCTGTCTGCATCTGCCACGGCACACCAGGAGGCTGGGCGGAGCGGCACGGTGGGGCCAGAGGGCGAGCAGCGAGGTTCCCGTCTGGCTGGCAGCCCCCTGCCTGCTGCCCCCCAACGGGAGAAGCCCAAGTCGCCGGCGGGAAGAAACCCACTCCCAGCCATGTCAGGCCACGGCCAGCCTCAGTGCCTCTGGTGCAGGGAGAGCGGGCATGCCCAGCCGCTGGCAAGGACACTGCAGGTGTCCGAGAGAGGCGGGGCCACCTCCTGGCCCACGCCACAGCTCCTGCACTATGGGGTGACCGCAGGGGCGCTGAGCTCTTACACTCACCCCACCCACGGTACCCTCAGACCAGGAGAGGCGGCTCCGGGCACCCCTCTGCCCTTCCCAGGGGCCTGGCTGGGCCCGGCTCCCGAGACCCTGCCCTCCGGCTGTTGGCCGGGGGCACTTACCCCACAGTGCGGCCAGGAGGGCCAGGAGGGCCAGCATCCCGCGTCCTGGCCTCCCGGAGGTGCCAGGCGGCGGCTGCTGGGAGATGCTGTCGCTATGGGGCCTGAGGGCAGCACGTATCCCTAATAACCAGCCGGTATTTCTTCAGCGCGTGATCACCAGCTGCTCGTTGCCGGCCTTTGCATCCAGGACCCAGAGTGCTTCCGCGGGCTCTTTGGAGGCTCGCCCCCTCCCACCCCCAGGGGACCCTTGCAGAGCACAGCCCCACACCACTGGTCTGCAGGCGCTGAGGGGAGGTGGGGCGGGTCCCCATTTGGATGCAGGGAGCTGACAGCCCAGGGTCCAGGCAGGGAGGCGGCCCAGCTTTGCTGGGGGGACAGGGAAGCGGGGGACACAGCAACACCAGGCCCTTCCCTCTATGACCACAAGCAAAAAGTAAAAAGGGAGCTAGAGGCTGTGGGGGAGGGCCCTACCCAGCCCCCACCTGCTCACCCACCCTGCCCCACCGAGCCCACCCCCAGGAACGCTTCTCTGCACCCATATTCTGCCTCTGCTAGGGTCCACCCAGGCCATCCCTGCACTCCCAGCCAGCCACCTCCTCACCAGCCCCCAGTACCCCAGGAAGGGGCTGCTGAGATCTACCGCTCCCTAATTTCTCAATTGCACATGGGGCCCCCAGACACCCCCAACTTGCAGGGGGACGGGTTGCAGGGCCCACAGACAAGTGGGTCTCCTGAGGCCCCCAGCGCGCAGGGTCCTGGCCTCACTCCCAGGCAGCCACCATCCGACACCTGTCTCTGCCTGCAATCCCACTGTTCAGAGGGGCCGCCCCGCAGCCTGCCCGGAGCCTCCGAGGCTGACACCTGGGTGTGCACACAGACCCAAAAACCGCCTGGCAGGTGCTGGGGGCTAGCACGGGGTCCCTCTCCCCGGGGCTTTGCCTGTCCCAATCCCACCCTGGCCAGCACAGCCCCGGCCCCGCAAGAAGCCTGAGTCAGGAGCAGACAGAGGACCCATCGGACAGTGCTTGCGGGCGCAGGAGGGGCAGGAGGGGCACCCCCAGGCCCGCCCCCTCCCTGCACCAGGCAGGCGAGTTTGAGGAGCTGGGGGGGTGGTGGGGGGCATCTACTGGGCCTCAGAGGCCACTGTGGAAGGGAGAGGAGGACAGAGCCAAGTGACCGCCAGACGGACGGGAAGTGTGGCCCCGAGGGCCGGCCTGCACGCAGTACAGGGGGACAGGCAGGCGGGAGCCAGAGGCCCCAGCCGGAGCCAGCCTTATCCTAAAGCAAACAGCCCCCTCCCCTCCCCCTGGGCCAGGCCTGCCCTGCCCCCTCCACCCCTGCCTCTGCAGAGACCCCAGCAGACTCACCGGAGGGAGCCCCCCCAGATTCCTGGGGATTTTGGCTGCCAGTTTGACTGCCACGGCTCTATATTTAGCTTGGGAAACACAAGCCCCCATTGTTCCACCTGGTCAGGTGTCCAACCCACCCAGCCAGAGGCAAACTGAGGCAGGAGCTGAGGCAGCTGGAGGGTGTGTGGGTCGGGGGTGGGGGGCAGCCGGTTTCCCACCAGCTCTGGGGCGGCCCCTGGAGTCCTTCAGCCAGCATCCGCACTTCCCCATGAGCACCACCCCCAGGAAGCCCTCGACCCTCCACACACCGTAAGCCACAGCCTTGGGCAGTTTTGGGCATGGGCAGGATGTGGACAGCCACATGGAGGGGGCAGACATGGGGGCAAACGGAGGCCGGGGCTGGGTCTCACCCCTCAAGGGGGCTGAACATCAAGGTGGTGGCAGAGAGAGGATCACCACACCCCCTTTCCCCCCTCCCTCCTTCCCGTCCTCCTCCCCAGCAGCTGTGAAAACATGGCCAGGAATGGGGGTGCCAGGAGGGGTCAGGGGGCAGCAACCCAGAAGACCTCACATATCCAGCCTACACAGCCAGGCTTCCCAGCCGCCATCCAGAACTCAGGTGTCACACATACATCCTATCATGCCATCTCCCAGACACTGTCCCCCAGACACATGGGCTGTCCCCCAGACACTGTCCCCCAAAGAGGCTGTCCCCCACTGTCCCCCAGACACTGTCCCCCAGAAACACAGGCTGTCCCCCAGACACTGTCCCCCAGACACA